ATATATATTTATTAAAAGAGTTAAAGATCTAAATAAATGCTAGAGATGCAGGAAAATAAAGGAATATCCCTCATAATTCTCGCAGCACATTAACCCAATTCTTAAATTCTTGATTAAGTTAATTATTAATTACTACAAATGAAGTAATTTATTACATAGCTGCAAATACCACAATAGGGTATTTATTCTTTCAACAGTAAATAGTTAAGCACTTATTCAGTTTCATTTCATAAAGGCGAACGTACCTCGGTACGGGTTAAAGCCACGAACCCCTTTTAACTGCAAAGGAATTTGTGAAACGACAAAATTTCTTTTGTTGCCGCACACGTATGCTGATTCTGTGAAAGTGTACCACAGTGTGTGTGTGTGTGTGTGTGTGTGTGTGTGTGGGTGGGTGGTGTGGCCAGAGTTGAGGGCGCGACTGCAGGCACCCCAACAGCTCCCATGTGTTCATATAAATTTTGTGTTTATTCGGGTGCATTTCCACTGCGGCGCACATTCAGCCGCAGCCGCAGCCTCAACCTCAGGAATAGACGCAGTCGCACGCCCTCACGTTGAGTAGCCAACGAACCAACCAACCTCGCACACATACAACTGCACACACACCCACACACGCCCACACCCAGTGCAGCTAGGCAGGGCTTGGCTGTTGCATGCCCCACTGGCTTTGGGCTTCATTTATGTGGATCAAATAATGTTAGTTTCTCCTGCCCGAGCCGGTTAACCGTACAGCATTTGAGTGCACCGCACAACAGTAAACACACACACCCACACATACAGGCACTCACACATGCACACACCTGCAGTTGAAACTATTTTTCCGTTTAAATAATTTTGAGATGCTTCATTGTGGCTGAACCTTGGCTCTGTCGCTTGAATTTTTTTTGTTTTGTTCTCTTTCTTCTTGCTGTTGTTGCTTTTTTTCTCTGGGCTTTGGTCAGATTGAATTAAAATTCCGATGCCAAGGATGAAAAAAGTTGTCACACAATTTATTACTTTCGACTTTGCGACGATTTAAAAAGTTTGCCTTTGCCTTTGCGTTTGCCCTTGCAGTGCTGTTTCCTCGTTTTCCATTTGCCATTTTCCACTTACCCAAAATCCAACTGTTCGACGCCAGGCACCCCTTTTGGCCAATTTCATTTCTTCCCTGATGCCTTTGTGTTTTCGCACAAATTGGTTTCTGCTTCTGCTTGATTTCGTGCGCCAGCTGAAGTGCAGATCTGCCAGGTGCCACACCAGCCCACACTTTCCCCCGCAACCACACACACACACACATGCACGCATATACACACACACACACACACAGACAAGTAAGCATTGGCTTTCAAGTCACTTGACTTGTTAAATTCACTTAGCTGATCAGCCGAGCAGCCAACTTACACTTGTTGGCACTCAACCGTCCCTCGCCCCACGCCCCACGCCCCTCTCCGTTTGCGGGCATGGGGGCGTGTCTAGTGTCAGTTGTGCTATGGTTGCGTTTGCCACGCTCATATCCCAGCGCGTCGCACTCTATTTGTCTAGCTGAAATTGTGATTTTTGTGCACTAACACCGGCTATCGGTGCGTATACGCAACTAAGCACTGGGACAACTTGCTGGCAAACGAGAGCGAGCGAATAAAATGCAGCACACTTTCGAGCATGACAATGTTGCAGCACTCCCATCGACATTGTTTCGCATAACACGCATCCTTGCAGAGCTTACACCGAGAGTCACTTGCAACTGGGATTGTAATGGAAGTGCCACTACTCGAGGCAAGCCTCAAGAGTTGTCAAGTAGATTTACTTGCTGTTCTTGTTGTTATCGTTGTTGTTGTTGGTATTAGTTTTGTAGTAGCTTGTTGCTGGCATACAAATAAATTAAAATACATACATATGTATGTATTTATGGAAGGAAAACACACGCACACACACACACACACACAGAGTGAGAGAGGGAGAGATAGAGATGCAAACACACTTGAGTCGGATATTAAATTAAATAAAAACCTACATCGAATAATATCAACATGCTATTTCTATTTAAATTTCGAGCCCGGCCCAGGCATAGCTGCACGTTCGAGATAAAAAATATGTATGCAGAAGCATACGCACAGCAGTCAGCTAGATGGGAATTAGAGCTGACAATGACGACCATTGAATACTCTTGCAGACAGTGTGCCAATTAGTTGTGAATGTATTTGAGTCTGAGTCTTCTTTGACATTCGCCTTTACCTGCATTCGGCTTAAAAACTGAGCTTCAACTTAATCTAGATATTGTCGAATATCCTTTGGATTACACTCTTTAATAATGTGCAAAGGTGTTCAAGTGCAGCTACCAAGGCAACTGATGCTGATGCTGATGCTGATGTGGGCGTGGCTGGCAAACATATTGCAGTCGATGTTAAGCAACAGTTCAGACGCAGGCAAATGGAAGCGAGTGTGTTTGTATATGAATGAATGAATGAAAGGCTGATGATGCGTGTGTGTGTGTGTGTGAGTGTATGAGTGTCGTCCGTATGTTCGTGTGAGTTAGTGTCAACTCAGGGACATTTAGTAATTCCGCACGCATATCAAGGACAACGTACTCATAAATACCAACGCCAAATGCCGCACAGCAACAACAACAACAACAACAACAACAGCAGCAGCAGCAGCAGCAGCAATGGAAGCATCAGCAAAAACAACTGCAGGCTTGTCTCTGTGCCACGTTTAAGCTCTAGTCCGTTCGCCTGTCTCTCAGTCTGTCTGTCTGTCCCTCTGTCTGTCAGTCATTCTGTGTTTGTATGTATGGAATTTTTAACTTCATTATCGAGGCAGAGGCTACCATTTGGCGCTACGCATCGCTGCTCAGCCTCGGCCCCGCTGCCCCGCTGCCCATCACCCGCCGCCCGCTCGATCGTCCTTGCCCATCATTGTCTCTGGGCGCATTGCTCAACAATTTTTGCACTGCGACCGCCCCATGGCTCATATATTCCGCCAATGCGCAATGGCATGCATACCTAATGCCCAATGATGTGCACGCTGGAGACGACAGCTCAACGTGGCCACCCACTTGAGCTATGATTGTCGTCTGCTCACTCAGGGCCAAGCCAAGCAGGCAGAGACAGCTCCGGCAGCTCTGGCAGCTCTGGCAGCTCCGGCAGGCTTCGCAATTCAAGCTGTCCATTCAGTTATGGCAGTCACTCGGTTTGGTAGGCGTTCAATTCTGGCACAGTTTTAAAGCTGTGGCTGCTCGAAATGCTTTCGCCTTATTTTCTGAGCACCATCTGAAGTTGGGCTTTAAAAATTTCGCTTGTTTCTGGTTGGCCATAAATTTGGTGGCTGTCCGCCAATGTTTGTTATTTATTTGACTTAAGCACGTTGCGGCGCGTGGCATTTGGTGCTCGCTCTTGGCCAGCGACAACCTTTAAATGACATGCCACGCCCAGTTAAACCCCGACCGCCTCGAGCCCAAGCCTTGCCGCACAGCTGTCAGCATTCAAGCGAACCGAAAAGGCACCGAAAAGGCACCCGGGCGACACAGCGAATGTAAGCAACACGCGATTTATAGCGCACCTAAGTGAAAGTTTGTACGTTTTGTTTTGCACAGGGCGCGAGGCACGGCAATTGTATGTGGAGCACGTTTTGTGGTGCTCCAAAATTTATTGGTTCTATCTGTTGGCGCGTATGTCAATGCCAGGCTCAATAGCACAACAGTTGGCGTATGTGTGATAATTTTGTTCTTCCTGAATGGCTGCCCTGTTAAAAGTGAAATTTAATTAATTATGTGCCGTCGCGCCGCCTGCTAGCGAAAATATTTCGCTCTCTGCGCCGTAGTGTATGCAATGATTTATTGCTGCGCCTAGCCCAGCGCTTGGCTGGATGGTAGCTCCCGCTCCCCCTTCCCCAACCCTCTCCCACACTCACTTTGTCTGCCTCACAGTCTGTGACGGTGTTCATGTCCGCATCTCTGGCTGTCTGTTGCGGGCTCTTGCTGTTGCTTGGCTTCGCCTCTGCAATTTTGACGCGCAGCTTCAAAAGCGCAACATGAGAATTTATTTGGCGCGCATTTGTCTTGCCACAGCAGCACAACACTCACATGCACTCGCAGCGGCACTCAGACTCAGACACCCACACTCACATTCACATTCACATTCACACTCACACTCACGCTCACATTCACATGGTGGCATTATTAATAGTTCTGCCGCTGCCTGCAATATCCTGTCAAATTAATTTCAATTTAATTAAATTCTCCTTTTTTTCGCTTTGCTTGTTGTTGCTTTTCCTGTTTTGCTCGCGCGGAAATAAGCTAAGCAAAATAAATGAAAATTTCTGTCAAATAAATGTTAAAAAATTGACTCATTGTGGCGCATTCGATGGAAGAATGAATCCACTGTGTACAAGTGTGCCTCTCCCCCCCTCTCTCTCTCTCTCTCTCTCTGTCTCCCTCGATTGTTATGTGTGTGTGTGTGGCCCAGCCAAGCGGGAGGCAGCAGCAAGTGGAGGGAATCACAGCTGCAGAAATATTTGCAAGCATTTGTTTCTCACCCTATGTGGACGTGCGTGTGTGTGTGTGTGTGCGTGTGTGTGTGTATGTGTGAGCATACAGCAAATACTGAAAACTCTCACACTTGGCACTAAAGTCATTTTTCGCAGCAAACGCTGATGCTACACGCCCCAGCTCCCCCCGTCAGCCATTTGCCATTGAAATAGTTGAACGTGTGTTGTTGTTGTTGTTGTTGTTGTCGTTGTTGTTGAGAGTCGGTTGCGACTCTAGCCCGAAATAGCGCTTCGAAAATACGCTCATTTATCAATATGTCCGTTGTTGTATAACTATTAATGCCAGAGCGCCCACCCCGTGCGCGCCGTCATGCCACGCACGTGTCGGCAGCTCAAACTTAACGCCAAACTTAGAAAACGTCAAATGCGTTTTAACTAATTTCGAGCAATTCATTTTCATCTTCGCATGCATCTTGCTGCCAACTGTCGTGGCTGGAAATTAATGCGAAATGCATTAGCATTAGCTCTTATAAATGAACGCTGGCAGTGCTTAATGACGAGCCTCCATGGACCGACTCGCAAAATATATATACATATATATACATATATATATATACTTCACATGCCAATCCCACCACGTCAAACAGTGCGTATGAGTGATGCGGCAGTTGCGGTTCGTTAAATCGAGCGACTGCACTGATTTGTCACTGTATTTAAATCAACACGCACGTCATGAAAAATCACCGTCACAATTTGGCCGCAGAAAAAAATGCTGAAAATAAATGCGCTCACCTTAAAGTGCATTATTTGGTTAATGGAGCACAGCCACAATGCACACACACACACAATGATTGCTTTTTTCGTTGTCAATACACACACGAGTGTATATGTATATGTGTGCGTGTGTGCGCGTGGGTGTGCCATATACATATATACATATGTGGCATGCAACGTCGAGGTGCTGTCATTTTTGACACTGCCTGGCATTTCATTGATTCACAACAAATGATGCGCCCAGTGTTGCAGGAGGCGACTGGCGACAACTCCTCATTGAATACCCTGCCTCACGTTAACGAGTATGCGAGTTGGCAATTAAATTATGAATAAAATGAATTAAGTTAAAGATATTACATATGTATGTGTATCTGTCATGAATGTGAACTATATAAATAGTAATTATTCTCATATGTCGCTTCAATAGGCCGCTTTGTATAGGCAAAGATACCCTGTCATTTTTGTGATAACGAATCTCTTATGTCAAACATATTCAGATGTCACTTAAAGCCACTTGAGACTTTACCCAAGTTGACTTTTCTTGCCTTACTTAAATATATCTTGGATTTTCATTAAAAAAAAAAATATTAAAATTTTTTCATTTTATCAGTACAGGGTACCTCGTAGTTGATCACTTGCAACTGATCAAAATATATGTTTTTAATGTTCATTTATGTCGCGCACACATCGCATGCACAAAATATACAAAATACGAGACTCTTTTGTACAGTTTTTCATTTGCTTGTCAGGCTCATCTGTGGCACGGCCTGAGCGCTCCATTAAGGGGCATGGGGGCAGAGTGCGGGGCATAGCTGTCATTCGTATGACAACGAGCAACAAAAACAGAAAAAAATGAAATAAGGAACAAATTATGGCAAATGGGTGCAAATTTTAATGAAATTCAACAACAACAAAAAAGTGAATAAAGTATGCCAAGAGACAGACAGACAAGAGCAGACAGAGAGAGAGAGAGAGAGGGAGATTGAGAGAGAGAGAAGGCGCAAGAAAACCTACATGGCAAGATGTCAGCAACGAAATATTAAAAAGGCAGTGACAGGCAAACGAGGATAGTGCCAGGACGTGTCGTAAGCCTGGCCAAACAGTTGGCACCCCGACCGAGAATCCATTGAAAAATTGTAATGATCTCGGCTCCGTCGGGTGGATGTACACATTTTTCTTGGCACAATTCATAATTCAGCTTTAATACCACGCATTATCAATTCTGGCTGGATCATTGACATCAATTGCATTACAAATGCTCAAAAGCTGTACAAAATCTCGGCAGCAAATAAATTAACCAGCCGCGTATCACATTGCCGAGCAAACACAGCAGTGTGAAGCCGCATTAATTCATGAGGTTGTTTGTTGTGGCCATTTCCGGTTAGCTACATCCGCTTTGCACGCACTCTGCCGGACAACGACCACATACACACACACGCACGCACACACATACATATGTACATTTATTTACGAATAGAGACCACATTGGAATCATTTACCGAATCACATCAATTTCGTTTTCTATATGTGTATTCGTGAGTGTGTGTGCGTGAATATTTTAAACACTTTTAAATTATAAATGAGTCTGTGATATATCGCAATGGCATTCCATGAATTATTAAATCACATTTAACTTGCGAACATGTTAAAGTCAATGATTAATTTCAATGCAAATTTAATTCGCGACTTTTCCACTGTAATATTTGAATAACCACACGCACACACGCACATACAGTTACAGGGTCACACACACAGGCCATGCGTAGTATTTATAGAAATTGCATGGAATTTCCCTAGAAATGTCAGTTTATTCAAT